ACCATGACTAGAATTTGATAATATACAAAAAATCATCAGCAAAAACCTTATTAGAAAAATTATGTTCCTTCATACGAAAACTAGAATTTGATTATATACATTACTTCCATGAATAAAATACAATTATTTTATGCATCAACAAAAGACCACCATGGAAAATGTTTAAAAAAAAAAAAAATTAATCCCTCAACTGTAAAGAGTACATACTTTGTCACATTTAATACAATATATGTGTGTAGGTGTGTGTCAACTACAAAAACTATACTTGTATCAAAGGCCACAACACCATAAACCTATAGTTATGGTCCCTACTAATTATCTTCTTCGAATATCATACACCAAATCCCCTGCCGCCAAAAACCGGGCGCATGAAAGCATCATCGAATTTCCTCCAATAGTAATGGACCGTACTGTTTAGAAGCCTGCGTAGGCTTCTGGTAGGCCCAACAACATTATCTCCCGATTCTTCACCATTCACTATTAAAGGCAGTGTAATAGCATTTGGACTCGAAGGTTCGGATAAAACATCTGATGGAGGTAGGAGCAGCCTCAGAAGATGCTTAGTTAACAGTCCAAACACCTGAACACAAACATAGCTTTTCATCGCTTACTTAATTCCTTCCCAAAGAGTTAGTTAATTATGAAATGAAAGTAACCGTGATGTTTTGAATCACAAAGCTAGCTCAACAACTTCAAACGTAATCCGGAAAGGTAGTATTTTGTGCATTCTCACCGAGTAATCAAGAGAGAGTGCTATTTTATTTTCAGTCAAATATAGAAGAGTTCAAGAATCTAGCTTTCCCTTTGTATAAATTTAGAGAGCTTTATGCTTTTGTTCTACTATATGTCAACAATCTATACTTTCAAATAAGTTGGGAATATTCATATAGGACTGGGGATTTTAAAATTATAAAAAAACTAAGATAATATAAAGATTTTTTATTATCTTGTATAACTTGATATGTTTTGATTTGTTATGTATTTTTCCTTCACGATATATCAAATTAATTATCTTTTGACAATTTTGGGTTTGATATTCATACTGCATATAAAACAAAAATATCTACTTTTATCGGTAAAAATAAAATTTATCAATCAATCGTGGTGATTGGAATAACTAACAAAATCATTAATATTCTAGATGAAAATAAATTTATCTACCAATCATATGCAATGTTATATGATATAAATTAAATATATATATATATATATATATTTATGTGATTAAAGAGTTACTGCTATCGTGTGTGGTGACACGTGTCACCGATTCACCACGAAGTATTTGACAATATCTTTATAAATAAAAATAAATTTCTATATCAATTCTCATTGAAAATAACAAAATTATTACAAATGCCTAATTGAGAAAGAAATATATCTGTCAATTATTAATTTAATTAATAGCTAGTATTGATATTTTGATATGCAATTGTATTATTGTATGATTGTATCATATGGGTTATAAATATTATTATATTTGACAAACCTCACAGACGACTATTAGAGTGTGTTTGGTAAGCACCATAAGCTAGTTTATAACTTATTTAGTTAACTTATAAGCTTTTTGCATACAAATAAGTTTGGTTTGGTAGAACGAACTTTTTCGCCTCATAAGTTTCTTTGGTAAACTTTTCAAATAAGCTCGCTGAAATTTTTATTTCAGCTGAACTAATTTTAACTAACACTTTTATCATATCAACTAACTTTTCAGCCATAAGCTTGAAATTCACTTATATGTTATTAGCTATCTTATGAGCTAGTTTTACCAAACATAGCCTTAAACTATTGCCGGTTGAAAAAAAAAATTATCCTGGTTGAGTAACATGTGTGCCATGTTTTGAAACAAAACTGATAATACCCTTTTTCTTTTAGAGAAGTGTTCGAACAATTGAAAGAAGTGAAGGATGTTTCTTATTCTTACCACCGTGCTGAAAAGTACTATAGTGATGGTGCACGTAATCATGATTGCATTTCCCGGCTGCTTCGTGTGCCCAGATTTCGCAAACTGCAAATGCACACAAATTCAGGTTTCTCTTGTTTAATACAACCATTTCAAGATTTTGGGCGGGAAAAAATCTCCTCTACATTTTCACCTGATTGTAAGCCAGCGCCATCGAAACAGCACCTCGCATAAGACCAGCCCACCATATTGTAACCTGTGGTTTTGTATCATTTTTCTTAATCTATTATTCACCTAAATACATAACTACATATTTTTTTAGAAAACAAAGTTCACCTGCTGTTTCAAATTGAGTTTTTCACCCTTAGACTTCTTAGCAAAGTTTGTCAAAAAGGAGAGAGGGAAAATAAACGATGCTCTCCCGATCATGACTAGTCCAAATAGAGCTGCACTTGCACCAATAGATTTCCCCGGGCTGCAGAGATTTTCACAAGAGGAATAAAACAGGGAGTATTATGAAAAAAAATCATAAATAAAGTGAAAATGAGTACAACATTAACAGATTTTTAAGCATATTTTATAGAAGAAGATAAAAACCAAGAATAATTTCCTGCTTCGTACCTGTTGCTCACGAGCTCCCATTTTTCAAGGTCCAATGCATCCATGCCAACATAAAGGAAGATAAATGTCTCTGCAATGAATGATAATGTAGCAAAGGCATGCCTGCAGGAAACAAGAATACACGTAAATTTTTTTACTAATTTTATGCCAAATCTTCCTTCCTTTTCCTTTTCCTTTCCTTTTTTTTTTTGGTTTTCTGTTTTCTTTACTAGGTTCCTTACTTGGTGGTAACTCTAGAACTCTCTGTGACGTTATGCCAGGTGTAATGCGACATAACAATTCCACAGAAAAATACAGCAAGAATTCCACTTAAGTCACAGAGCTGCAAGAGGAGAACAGTGATATGATCAGTAATAGTAACTACTGACTTACCGAGGCCATGGTTAAAGACTTACTGTGGAAATACATATTAGAAATTTAGAAAAGAAGTAAAATGAACCTCAGCTAAAATATACGAAAGGTAGGCCATGAGAATCATTAAACCGACCTCACGATCTGTTGAATGCCTGAATGAAATTCAAATGTTAGCACAAATATCTCAAGTAGTAAGTGTTTTTAACACTGGCAAGGGAAGCCGTACACATTTCTTTTTATTTAGCTTATTTTAAGTTTTTAGAAGTTAAAAATTGAAATCTAGTGCAAAAATTTAAGGCCGAACAGTTTGCAGACTTTGCGTACCTTCCAAAGTATAACTTTTTGATAATGTAGGCACTAAGCAATCCAATCTGCATTTATCAGTCAAAAACAAAAGATTTAAACCAGGCGGACATGCTGGTTATAGAAATTCACCAAAGTTCTCGCGAAAGATGGCAAGAGAAGATAGTGATGACAAATCAAACATCTATAAGACAAAGATGTGGCGAATTCTCAAAAATCTTCTTCCCCCTCTTAAAAATTTACGAGTACAAAATTCAAGAGGACCCATACATGCAATAGTGAGCAGAATAAATTAGGAGAAAACTTACCAAAACCCCAAGAAGGGTGCTGGCTACGAATAGAGAGAAGAAATTGCCAACGAATTTTAAGGCAATTTTCGAGTCAGGATCTGAAAGGCCGAATTTCTGAATTGCATTAAAGAGCACCACAGAAGTTGCATCATTCACCACACCTTCGCCAAACACTAAACTGTAGAGCAAAGGCATCTCATCCTGATTAAGAACCTGTCAATCAGGTAAACAATGTCAGTCTCTAGGAACCCTTTAGCTTGTCAGACATCTATTTCAGCTTCTCGTAAAGAACAAAATGAGTATTGCAAATTTATTCACACCTGCAAAGTGCACACAGAATCTGTAGCTGAAAAGATAGCCCCAATAGCTGTGAAAATGATGTGACCATTATTAAATATATCAAATATGATTCAACAGAGGCAGAGAGAGAGAGAGAGAGAGAGAGAGAATTTATCCAGCATAACAATTTGTAACACTGTGTACACATTTTGAGAGATGAATTTGATTTTTTTAGGCTTCGGGAATTAAGAAATAGACATAACATAATACTATCACTTAGAAGTTGATCCCACTACTAAATTCTCTAGCAACATCACTGCTTAAACCCAATATAGTCATATAGGCACACCATCCACATGTTTCCATCGAGTTAGCATTATTGAGAATGGAGAAATTCTTTTCCGGTTAACCTATTAGTGTTCTGTCAAGTATCAGGTGTTTGCCTTCCACATGCCAGGAAAATGGAGGGCATAGATAGTGGTCAAACAGAAATTTATGAAAATATTGCAAAAACAAAAAAAAAAAATAACAATGAGCTGTGAAGAGGAAGGACCTACCAAGATAATCTCGAAGCTCTAGATAGCCCATATCCAAAGTCTCGAATAACAGTTTTGCACCTGAAATGGTCAGAGACGAAAGTTAGTTCTGTGCTAAGTTGCAAGCCATACAACAGAACAAACAAATGTTGAGGCAAACGCTTTAAGAATGAACACATACTAAGATACTAACACATCTATGCGTGTGAATTGGCCAAAACTTGATAATTGTGATATTCTTCTTATTAATTTTATTTATATTGTTATCATTGTTGCAGAAAAGCATACTTCTCTTTAAGGTCCAGTTATAATTAGCCAAAACTATAAAGAGATAATAGCAATTTATACGCTCATATAATATCAAAGTTATAATGTAAGCAGCATTCAATAAAATTCATTGCATATCAATATCCAAAAATTTAAAAGAAAAGAAAAAATACCAAACGATATGATGCTGAAGGATATCATTGTCCCAACAGCACCAAACAACATAATACTCATGAAATTCCTGAAAAATTGTTTCTTTTTAACCTGGAACCTGGTAAAAACATAAAAGATGGAAAAAAAAGGTACTCTCAGAATTTGTTTCCCCTACTAATTAACACTATCAAGAAAAAGGGAAACAAATTTGAATATATCCTGAGTTTCAACATTTCAACTCAAAAGGTAAACACCATGATCTATTACTTCTTCAAGTGGCACCAAAAATGCACAGGTGATCACCAAACCTTAAAAACAACCAAAGAAAGCTTGGAAGATATACATACGACTTACCCAGCATTAAAAATAATAGGTGGCAGGAGATATATAAAAAAGAGCTCTTCATCGAATACCAAGATTCGTGAATTCCCTCCTTTAGACACCAAAAGTAATATCACTCCTGTACCCAAACCCTGCCACCAAGACGTCGTTTTTGATTTACAACATAGCTGAACCAACATAACGCAGTCACATATGTAGATAAACAATGCCATGCTTCAAAAAAACAACATAAATAAAAGCAAGATATTTCAGGATATAAGTAGAATTTGTGATCAACAAAACAATATACCATATGAGATAATAGTAATATTACAACAACAACAACAAGAATTATAAATCCTAGCATGCATTCCATCAGCACCTTCAAAGCCCAAATTGGAGATGATTACTTACTATGAAAAGAGCATTTATCGACTCGTTGATCCATCGATTTTCTTCAAGTAGGTGACCAATCACAATACAAGCACAGAGTAGGGTAACGAACAGCGTTATGGAATCAACCGAAGCCTGATGAGGTTCAGAGCTCGAACCTCCAAACCCCCCCAACACAGATCCTAAACCGCTGACCATAATAGTTTCTGTTTCTTACTTCTGCTTCAGACAAAAATGAAAAATTTAATAACTGAAAAAGAGCCCAACTAAACATACTAAACTTATGAACAAAAAACAAAGCCAAGCAATAAAGATGTAGTACGAGCGTGAGCAGGAAAATTTAAGTTGCATCACACTNCCAAAACCCATTTCAAAAGGGAAGAAAAATAAAACGGAGACAAGAGTGAGCGATGAAAATTGCCTGTGAAGAGAAGCAAAAAGGCTTAGCAAGTAAGCTAAGGCAGATGAGAGTTTAAATGCCGCGAAAGTGGAGACGGGAAATGGGAAAGTGGGCTGCAATTTCCTGCCAGAGTACACTAAAATTGGAGGAATCAGGTGATATTCCTAGGCCGTGGCCTGCTGGACTTTTTGGGTGGTGTAGGCCCAATTACAAGTGGAGAGAATAAGCCCGAGTCCAGGAATCAGATTTCTATATCTATAGCTATATATATAAAAAGAGAATAAGATTTTCAGACTTCTTAAAAAGGAATGCATACAAATTGAAAAAGAAAAATCTTATATATTCTTTTAATTCAAGAAATGATTCATGTTGCTTCAGACTAGTGCAGAGCCCGTGCAATGCACGGGGTACAATTTTAAGGCTATTTATCCAGTCTTATAATTATATACATGAATAAAGAAAAATGTATGAGATATATATAGTACGTGACCCGTACGAGGCACGGAATATATTTATTTGGGAAATATTATATTATAAGATACAATATTAAATAAAAATTTTATGATACATAGGAAAATTGTACAATAAGATATTATTTGACAAAGAAACAATCATATATTATTAAAGACCTCCTTGTACACAACATTATGAGTTTGATTATTGGACAATTCGTCATTCTCATAAAATAAACATGTACAAAAAAGCAATCATAAAAATTAATTTGTTTAAAAAATATAAATAATGTAAATATCTAAATATATACACGATCTCTAGAAGAAATAAGGCAAATTCTAAATTTTAAAAATAAAATAAAAAAATCAAAAATATACGTTTCATATTTTGAAATAAAAAAAAAATCAAAAATATACGTTACACAAATTATAAATATTAAATGTATTGATGTACGTAAATCAATATCTATATAGACAACAAAATCCTTCAATTTAGGTTTGACATCTGATTTATTTTTGGTAAAATCATGATTTTATCATTTGATCAAATATGCCTTTTTTTTGTTTTACGTACATTTCTTTTTGTACCGATTTTATGGGAAAGACAATTAAATAAAAATTAATTGATAGAAATAGAATGCATTAATTACCTTTGACTTTTCTTCCTACTAATTCTAGTAAATGGGATGGCCTCTTTATATAAGTATAGATACATTATATATTAAATTAATCTTTAATTAGTTTTTTGCAGATTTATACCAGTATATATTAAATTATTTTCAATAAATTTATACCAGTATATATTAAATTATTTTTGGCAGATTTACAACAGATACTACGTGTATTGTACGGATATTAGTGTATTGTACGGATTTGGATTCCATAAAAAAGAATTTGCATCAATCATATACAGTGAAATAAATCCCTCCACAAAAAAAGGAAAAGTTGAGTCCAAATTGTCAAAAAATTAATGCAATGGCATGAAAGAAGGATTTACTAGTATTTGACATGTGCATTTGCACAAATATAAATAAATTATTGTGAGTCTGTACATATAGTGATTAATTATTTTTCTTTCACTTTTTTGCAGACCAAATGTACAATTAAAAGAATTGAAATATTTTTTTTTAAATTGCGTTTATCTGATTGGATGTAATGTGTATTTTGGTACGTCTTTTATTTGTGAATTATTTATTATTTATTTAGGAATTTCAAATATATTTTTTATTTTAAAAAAAAAAAAATTAAATGTAACAACAATAATAACATCTAATCACATTATACGGTCAACACATTATATGGTCAACTGTCATTAATCAAAAGTTTAAAATGATTTTTGTAATTTTGAAGTGATGAGTATTAATTATTTAATGATTAAATGAAAGATTAAATACATCAAAATGTAACGGTTTTTGGAGGAAAAATTGTTAAATTGCCACATAGGTAAAATTAAATAGGTTTTATTAAATTCTATTAGCTAGTAATTATATATATATATATAAAGATTCCATATTATCTGTTGCAGTTAATGCTCGCTATTTATTAGGCCGAAATTAATGCAATGGCGTGTAACAAAAACAGCTCATATGAAATGAATTTATGATAATTAATTCGGTGTAATTAATGAGGCGTGTGAAAAGAACATAAAACTTGCCGTTTTTCGAAAATAATTAATGCAAATCAGACTTTGACCATAAATTGACCTACTAATTTTGATAAATGTTAATTCTTGTTATATATATATTGATATAAAAAAAAATGCATATGCATCTATTCCGTTACAAAATAATTTTAATTTTAAAAACACAGTTTTATCCCAGAAAAATATATTTATTTTTTTGTCAATTTATTTTCTATCGTATCGGATATCAATCCAAACTTGATACATACTGACTTAAAATTCTTTAATAAATTTTACTTGGATTAGCAAAATTCAATTAACTTGATACGTGTTGGCTTCTCTGGAATGGGTTATGGGTAAGTCAAGCATACTCAAAAAAATAAAACAGACTCTTTTGTAAAGCCTGCTTATGTGCGTCTGCAAGAACAACAATTATCTTGTTCATCACATATTTGAAATATGCAGGCGAACACCTCGATTTTAATTCATTACCCTACCACGAAAATATAAAACAAAATAGTTTTTCAAACATATCATATATGCTAAATAGTTGCCACAATGTTGTTTTGAACACAATAAAACAATCAAATGTACAAAAAATAATTTTTGAACCAAAGTGTGGTATATGACATTCGTCATATTTACATGCATTATGAGTGATATATTATGATATTTGGCCGTGTTTATAGTTCGATTGTGCACCATCATGCCTTATTTATTAATCTATGATAGAGGTACTTTTTGTCGTTAGTTTTGCAGGAAATATGCCCAAAAAAGCGTTAAAAATGGAGTCGGGACGAAAAACGACGAAAACCAGGTGCAGTTGAGGCAGACGACTCGTGTGGGACAGTAACACGAGTCGTGTGGATGAGGAAAAAGGGACGTTTCGTTACGGCACACGGGTCGTGTTACATCACACGGGTCGTGTGACCAGTCGTGTGAGTTTGGGAGTTTAGCGAAAATTGGAGAAACGTCACACGACTCGTGTGGCTATGTGACACGAGCCGTGTGGCGCGCAGACCACTTAAACAAGGACTAGGATTCTGACGCGATTTCTTCCCTATTTCAACCAATATATAAAAGGGACTTGGAGAACACAATTTTGCAACTTTTGACACCTTTGGAGGCCTAGAGAAAGCACGAAACACATGAGGAATTCGAGGAAGTCAAGATTGAAGATTTGAGAACTAACGGTGATAATATTTCTTCTTTGTTTTTCTCTTTTTCTTCTTCATTGAACTCATGGATTTATTTATTTTGAGTTTTGAGAATATGTTTAGTAGCTAAACCTTTTTGGGATTCTAGGATTTATGAGTACTCGGATTATTATTTTATGAAGTAATTTTATTCATTCATTCCGGTTTTTCATCCGTTTATTAATTTTTTGTGCTTATATGAATTGTGTGAATATAGGGCCCGTATTTATGCATATTTGTGATTGACTTGAGACCGAGAGGAGATAGTTGATTGCTAGAATTGAGAAAATTCATAACGTAAGAGACTAAACAGACTGATAGGTTGATAGAATCTTGCGAGGGAACTAGAATCTTAGGAGCTTACGGAGTTAGTTGATCATATTGAGACCGAGAGGAGATAGATAACAATTAATATCTACGATTTAACTTGTTCGAGAGAAATGTGTAAATTAATTTAGTGATTATCCCTACGATTAGTAGAATTAAATATGGTTTGAATGAATAAGAAATCTTTGCTAGAATAATCCCGAGGAAAGCATAGCATAGAATCTATTTTCTCATTCTTGATTTATCTTAGAACAAGCCTTCATTAGTGTTAGAATTTATTTTGCAATCATTCATTAGTTTAGAATAAAATCACCATTCTAATTTGAGTTAGTCTAAATAATATTTAATAGTCAATATTTTGGTACTTGATTATTTTAACAACAATCTCTGTGGAATACGACCTTGCTCGCCGCTTACTATAGCTATACCGTACACTTGCAGGTAGTAAAAATATTTTGCGAATAGTATACATTCGGAAATCAAAGGATTACAGTTCACACTACTCTAATACAACATAATAGAGTAGTTCTATCAAGCCTAAGGTTGAAAAAAAATCAACCGAAACTATAAGCACTCCAAAAACAGAAAATTAAAGCAACAAACTAATCCACACAACTAACAGCACACCAGCTTATTTACAAACTAAAAAACAAAAAAGACAACCATCACACAAAGAGGAAAGAAAACTAGGAAGAAAGAATACAAATAGCTAAGAATGTATTGAACAATAATATTTGAATTCCAACAGAAAATACCTTAATCTCCTAAATAGAAAATCAAGATGATCAACAAATTAAGCAGTAAACAAGCCCTAAAATTCATGCAAAGAACCCTAGATCGTGCAAAGAATCCTAACTTATCCATAAAATCCGTAATTGATGAAACATAAATCAAATTCGAAGTTATTACCACCAAATAGATAGTCAAAACCCTAATTATGAAAAAATTCGAATTCTACAACCAAATCAAAATTTTGGGAAAAGAAAGCACTAAAATCCTATTTTACAAGACTAACCTTATTTCTTGGATCCGAGGTAGAGGAAGATTGTTTGTTTGATGGGTATTTAGATTTTGAGCCCGCTATGGCCGTCGGAGACTGCGGGCCAAACTTCACAGAGGTGGCGGGCTGAGCTTTACGGAGGTGGCGACGGAGATGGTGGCCGACGAATTTTTGAAAAAGTGGTCGGCGACGTAAATGGTGGCCGGTGGGGACGATCGTTCCGTTAG